CAGATAATCGACGACTGCCCTCACTAGCTTCTGAATATGCCCATTACTGAGCCATAGGATTTGGGGTGTTTTCAATAAACCTTTCTCGCTACTTCACACACTCCTCGGAACCATGACAAAAGCAAAAACATACACAAATCCCTTGCTTTAAGCTGTGAAATTATCCTGAGGACATTTTCCCTAGAGGACAAGCAGTGTTACAAATATGGGCAGAGTGAGTTCCAGGCTGGCTGGCATGGACCATTTTTTGTGGGGCTGGGAACTGGCATGTGGCTCAACCCCAGCTGATACCATCAGCCTGGCGTCCTCGGCCCCAGCCTGTGCACGGTCATCCCAGCCCATCCAATTCTCTCTGACCAGTTTCACTGAGTGCCCCCTCTTCCCATACATGCTCTCCTCCAAACTTGCTCTTTCTGGTCTGCTGCTTAGCCAGGAGCCAGCACGAGGGGTGAGGGGACAAGTGTGACAGAAAAAAAGAGAACCCCCAGAGTTGCTGAGACCAACACCTGACCGCTCTCCTCTCTGCTCCTGACTTCCTGAACTAAGTGCTCGGGAACCCAGCTCAGCCCAAAGGAGGACTAACTGGGGTTGTGTGTATGGGCGTGGCTCCCCAGCCAGCAGCATCCCCGCAAACTCTCGGGGTCCCTCGTTCCCTCTTTGGGCCTGACAGATAAGGAAGGGAAGAGGGGGCCAGCTCACTAAGAGCTTTGGGGATTAGGCAACTAAAACATTCCATCCCCTTGACATCGTATCTTCCATATCACCTCTTTTCGTCCTTCTACCTTCCAGCTGGAATTGGATGCAGCTCTTAGATAATAATAGTAGCTGGTGACCAGGAGAGCAGCTACCCATCCCCCCACTTCTTACCATGCCTCTTACCCCAAAAAGGGACATAGAATTACAAGGAAGTCCTTTGCCCTTCACCACATAAAGACCCAAGGAGAGAGGGAGAGAAAGGGAACAAAACCAAGGTTCAGACACGGAGGTGGGGACAATAGGGTCTGTGAGACTGGGGCATAGGTCAAAGTTGAATGGAATTAAGGAAAAAGGAAGAAAGGAAAGGAGAGGATGGAGAGAGGGGAAGGTGGAGGCTGAAGGAGGAACATCAGGGATACAATGAAAGACCAAAAGATCAGAGATTGACTTAACTGCGTGGGAATGGCAGGAAGATGTGCATTAGTGAGCAGAGTGGAAAAGTGCCAGAGTATTGTATCTGCAAAGGGGGAGAATTCATTTTACAGTTACCCTTTAGCTGTGGGCAAATATCAGCTTTATAGATTTCATGGGATTACAGAGGGGCCACACACACTTGTTCACACGTATCCATCTTACTCTTGATGTTCACTCTTTGTTGAAATTTTACAATTAGTCACTTGATCTTAGGTTGCTGGTATCTCCATCTCACAATACACACACACACACACCACTGCAAAACGCGTGCTCTCTCTCTCTCTCTCTCCCCATCCTGCCGACATCAGGGCAGCCCACAGAGGAGGGTTGCTTGATGCTAACACTTTGGCATTTTTGAGCAACCCACCTGTAGGCTTACTCCCCCCAAGACCTCATCACTGTCGAGGCCCCATCCGTCTGCTTCTGTCACCAGCAGAATGATCTGACGGTTGAATGGGCCTTAATATTGACTGCAGTGGCTTCTGGCTTTTTCTAGGACTGTCACCTCCTGGGAAACCTGAGATCTTTAAATGCCGCTCTCCCGAAAAGGAAACATTCACCTGCTGGTGGACGCCTGGGACAGATGGAGGACTTCCTACCAATTACACACTGACTTACCACAAGGAAGGGTAAAAAATTCTCTTCTCCTACCAAACCCCACATGAGCGTTCTCACTCTCCAGGCCAAAGCAACACTGTTCTGAGTTAGAATCACCAAACTCCCCTGGATTGACACTAATAAGGCTCTCATGCTTCTGAGGAAAGGGACTCAAACATCCATGTACACATCCTCCGGTTAACATCCTTAAAGAACTCTCTCAATGTTGCATAAGCTCATTCATCTCCTCAGCAATACGATAAAGTGCTCCCCGTTAGCTGCAGTTTTGCTTTCCATGGTTTCACTCACCTGCAATCGGCCACAGTCTGAAAATATAAAATGGAAAATTCCAGAAATAAACAGTTCATAGGTTTTAAATGTTGTGCCATTCTGAGAAGCATGATAACATTTCACACTAACCTGCTTCATCCCACCCAGCACCTGAGTCATCCCCTTATCCTCTCCGTAGACACTACCTACCCCTTAGTCACTTAGTAGCTGGTTCTCAGATCCACTGTCTTGGCATCAAAGTGCTTGTGTTCAAGTCACCCTTATAGTAGCCTGATACTCCATCACAATGCCTACGTCATTCACTTCACTTCTTCTCATCACATAAGCATTGTATCATCTCACAGCATCACAAGAAGGGTGAGGTGATGACAGTACAATAAGATATTTAGAGAGAGAGAGAGAGATCACATTCACATAACTTTTATTACAATATACTGTTATAATTGTTCTATTTTATTATTCTTGTTGTTAATCTCTTCCTGTGCCTACTTTATAAATTAAACTTTATCATAAGTGTGTATGCATAGGAAAAAACAGTATATGTAGGGTTCGGTGCTATCTGCAATTTCAGGCACCTACTTTGGGCTTTAGAACATATCCTCCATGGATAAGGGGGGACCACTGTAGCAATGTTTTCAAATGCTTGTTCCAAACTTAGGTTGCAGCCCAAAGACATGTATAAGTGTTTACTAAGTGCTAGTTAATTTTAGATGCTCATCTATAAACCTTGTGCTATTTATAATTTTTTTTAGTAATCATTACTTTTGCACCATTAAAAGATTATCATGTAATCCTTGACAATCATAGTACAGTCATGTATCAAACTTGTTTCATGTCCAAGAAAATAAAGAGCCCTATAAGGAAAGGAAAGTGAGGATTTTTCCTCAGGAAATTGCTAATCCAAGATCTGTGACCTCCCAGAGGGCATATTTGGAGCTAAGGTTGCAGTGCAGACTAAAAGAAGTCATCTCTGAGTGAGGATTTTGTTATACTTCAATGAGACAGTTGTGGAAATCAAGAGAAAGCTGTATCCTTCCCCAGTAAAGAAAATATTTACTGGTAGCAATAGCTGGTCCATTTCCCAAAGCCTGTACTTTGTTGTACACAAAGCTGTCAGCCTTCTGGGACCCAGAGGCGTGTCAAGTAAACAGATTTCAGGAGCTCAAAATGGCACCTCAAATGGAATACACCTCCACACCTGTGCAGTGTGTCTTGTGCTGAGGCCCCCAAGTCTAATATGAGCAGATTAATGAGCCACTTGGGCCTGAAATATTGCCCTTCACAGTCACATCACTCCATTGCTTATTTAGTGCAATATGAAATATGCTATCAGTTTTTATTCTCTTTAACCTTTTTTAAATGAAATGTAATTCAACATATATGTGCAATAAAGGCTGCTTTGTGCATGGCCCTTCAATGCTTATGTGCAGGGGAAAGTCCGTTTCCTGAGATGACCCGATGGCAGTACCATGGGTATCGTGGTAGTGTCTTGGCTATTGAAAGTTCAAGTGTTTATTGGCAGGGGGTACATGTTAAAGCCCAGAAAAAGCTATAGAAAGGAAGGGTTGATGAGAAGCTGAGTCAGTAAGGCTCTAAAGTGACATTTCTGTCCCCTTCTCCATCATTCTCTTCCATTTCACTCCCAGCTGACATGGGCAAGAACAGAAGCTTGGGAAGCTACTCTTTAGCTCTGATCCCCAGAATCCAATGGTATTGATCTATCTATTAAGGAAAAATTAGACTCTTTTTACTACTTTCTTACTCACTCCTAATATATTTATTACTCATTGCAGAGAAACGGACATCTATGAGTGTCCAGACTACGAAACCGGTGGCCCCAACTCCTGTTACTTTAACAAGAAGCACACCTCCATTTGGACAGTATACACCATCGTAATAAAAGCCACGAACCAGATGGGCAGCAGTTTATCAGATCCACATTATGTGGATGTGACTTACATAGGTAAGAGGGAGAGCAATGGGTGAGGCATTTGTTACTGCATTATGGATCTACCAATAGTCAAACTCAGTTTGAGTCTTCTTGGCTTATGGATGGATGACCAAAATGAAGAACAAGAAATCTCACAGTATCCTTGTCAACAAAGTATTTTAAACCAATATTTATTGAGTCATTTATGGCCGTAAGACCGGCATTTAGGGTCCTTGTGTTTCTATGCGTTCCCTTGATTCTTCTTCCCATCCCCTTGTACCCAACAGGCATGTTCTAGTTCTGCTTCCCTTATCGAACCATCCTTCCTCCTGCAACCAATGCCCCTTTTTCTTGACAGCTGGGATTTCTTTTCACTCTCCCCCTGGAGGACAGACCTGCTCCATAGAGTAGCAGCTCTTAGAAGTTCATCTGCTTCCACACCCACAGGACTAGCTCCAGCTGCTTTGCCTCAAATTCTATTCTCAATGTACATATTCTTCTTAGCAATTCTTTTAACATCAGAGAATTTGGAGAGGAAATAGTGCTCCTTGAACAGCAGGCTGCAGGCCAAGATCACAAGTACAATGTTTGGGGATCTCATTAGCAAAGTAAAACAAAGTCATCCTGAGAGTTGTTTCTGGCTTTGCATGAGCGACATGGAGCTGCANCCTCCCAGAACAGTTCTCCAGTAGGACATACAATCTATGTCACATAAAAGGGGTGACATATTGTTAGGTGACTGCTGGGTGGAAAGAGAACAATTTCTCCTTGGGTTGTGTGCAAAGGAGCCCACTGCCACCACGCAGCTGCCCTTGAACGTTGTCATCTGATGACCTCTGGTGGTGGAATTTTTCCCAGCCTGTGTGCATCGATGCTTCTGAGCCAAGCTGTCCGACCATGTTACATTTTCCTACATTCCTTTCCTCCTGTTTTGTCATTCACATTAAGCAAGGAGCAAGAATCAGTTGCAAACACCCAGAATAAAGTGGTGCATGTGCCTGACTGGACTGGCATTTCAAAAAAGTTGTCCGGTGCCTTCTCTTCCAGTGAACCTCTGATTTCCTATCGAAAGAGAAGGAAGCCACCATGAAGGAAAATGTGGCATCCACATTTGTTCTCATTTTGCTACTTTTTCTCAACACCAAGCTTCTGAATGGTAAGTAAGAGACTGTCTTACTCTCTTTAATGTAAATTCTGGGGTCTTTACTGAGACGGTGGAGCATATATCACAGCCCTCTGGCGATGCAGTTATGAGAAATGAAAATGCCCATGTCATTTGCTGCTATTCGGTTATTTGCAATATATTTGGCATTAAAGCTAATGCAAAAATTTTGCAAATGAATTAATGCAATTAATGCAAAAGCTTGTCACTGGGTTCTGACTTCTACCTCTCCCTGGGAGTGCCGGGAACCAGCTCTACAAACGAGGAGACCAGAGTTTCAGTCCAGGCTCTGTCAGTTACTAGCTGTGTAGCGTTGAGCCAAGTACCTATTCTCTGTGGATTTGCACATTTTCAAAGTGAGGACAGTGATGTTTCCTCCACCTCAAATGAAATAATGTATGTGAAAAGTCTTTGAAAAACTGTTAGGTGATAAAAGGGTTTGCTGTTACATGGTGGGAAATGGGTACAGCCAACTCTATTACCTGTGCTAATGGGAGACATGAAGCTCACAGCTACACTACACTGTGTGTGCTGTGTGTACGTTTCTGTGTGTCTACCCTTCCGTACTTCTGGGTGTGTGTACTTTTGGATATACCTCTGTGTATATCAACTTCTCCATATGTGCCTGATTGCAAATGCTCCTCTGTGTGTGCCTGTGTGAGTACCCGTCTGTGTGTGTGCCTCCCTGTGTATGTATATTTCCGAGTGTGTACCAGTGTGTACCTCTCTAAGTATGCAGCTGTGTATATTTCTGTGTGGGTGTGTGTTTCTGACATGGGCTCTATGTGGGTGTCTGTGTGTACCTGTGTGTGTGGCACCTAGGTGGCTGCCCCTGTGTTTGTGTGCGCTGTATGGGGATGGTGAGACAGTCCATTAATTTTAACTGTCTCCTCTAAAGTGGGGGAAAGGAACATTTGACTAATTGTAATTTCACAAGTTAACTGTCCTCTGTCGAGTTTTCTTAAGGTGTTACTAATAACCAGTGAAATAGGAAGGAGATCAGCTCTCAGAGAGAGAAAGGAAAGCAGAGACCAGTATAATCCACAGGGAAACTTTAAGTACTCAGATAATCGACGACTGCCCTCACTAGCTTCTGAATATGCCCATTACTGAGCCATAGGATTTGGGGTGTTTTCAATAAACCTTTCTCGCTACTTCACACACTCCTTGGAACCATGACAAAAGCAAAAACATACACAAATCCCTTGCTTTAAGCTGTGAAATTATCCTGAGGACATTTTCCCTAGAGGACAAGCAGTGTTACAAATATGGGCAGAGTGAGTTCCAGGCTGGCTGGCATGGACCATTTTTTGTGGGGCTGGGAACTGGCATGTGGCTCAACCCCAGCTGATACCATCAGCCTGGCGTCCTCGGCCCCAGCCTGTGCACGGTCATCCCAGCCCATCCAATTCTCTCTGACCAGTTTCACTGAGTGCCCCCTCTTCCCATACATGCTCTCCTCCAAACTTGCTCTTTCTGGTCTGCTGCTTAGCCAGGAGCCAGCACGAGGGGTGAGGGGACAAGTGTGACAGAAAAAAAGAGAACCCCCAGAGTTGCTGAGACCAACACCTGACCGCTCTCCTCTCTGCTCCTGACTTCCTGAACTAAGTGCTCGGGAACCCAGCTCAGCCCAAAGGAGGACTAACTGGGGTTGTGTGTATGGG